GAAAACGATGGATGGGTGATAAAAGTCTCCATCATCATGGCACACAAGCCATATCGTTAAAACACTGATTGCTAGTTATTAGAGTAAATCGCCACCGTTGCTTCACAAGAGGGCCTTCCGTCGGTTGACGAACCCACGCCAACCCAACACCCTCTGGGAAATTTGAGGCTCGTCCTAGAACATCGTCCCAAATGACTCGTCGGTCGGAATGCGTTTCCGAGGACTCCCGCCGTCTTCTGTGGCAGGTTTACGATGCCTAAATGTGAAGCCGACAAAGAGGCTCTTGCTCATTTGATCCTCACGTTCAGCCATAGTCTCGAGAGCTTGTTGCTTGTCGTGGACTTCCTTGTACTTTGCCATGTCAGCTTCGTTGGTAAAGTCGTCGAAGTAGCCCGCATCGGTCTCCGAGTCCAGCTCAGGGACAAAAGGTGCACGAGTCTGTCGTAAAACATCCCATTCAACTTCAGCAAAATATTGATGGGCAAAGATATCGGTAATATTCGAGAACCGTCTTGAGCGGGAGTTGATGCATCTGCATATCATAGTTAGTTCACACTCATGATGTATGTGCCGGGATTCGAATATGCTTACGTGCAGATGAAGTTCCAGGTTCGGTTGCTCAGGAAATAGTTGGGATCCTCCCATACAGGCCTCTTCAGGACTTCTTTCCAGTGCTTCAGGTTGCGCCACGTCTCATCAGGAGTAGCACCTGCGAAGGGAGGGAACCCAGTGAGAGCTTCAAACAGCATACAGCCTAAACTCCAGTAATCTACTGTAAAGTCGTATTCCTCCCCTCTAAGGACTTCGGGAGCCATGTAGTCGGGTGAACCTACGATAGATTTGGCGTAGTTGACATCGTTTTCACGCATCGTCCGGTAGCTCTCTCGACGTTCGGCCACGGTTCGTTGATCCATGGGCTTGCCGAAGGGGACTGAACTCTCAGACGCCTTTTCCAGCTTGACGCGCATCGACTCGATTTTGGACGGGGCCAAGACACCGGCAGCAAGACCAAAATCGGTTAACTTTATGTGGCCTGTCGAATCAACCAGGAAGTTTTCAGGCTTGAGATCCCGATGAATGTAGCCCAGCTGGTGCAAGGCGTCTACGGAGCAAAACATTTCGGCGATGTAAAAGCGGGCGTGGCGATTTGATAGCACACCCGTATTGTTAAGTAGGGTGCGGAAGTCACCACCAGGCACGTACTCCATAGCGAGATAGATACTCTTCTCGTCCTGGAAAGAGTAGAGGAGCCTAACGAGCCACTCGCTCTGGGCGGTTGTGAGAATATCTCTTTCGGTCAAAACGTGACGAACTTCATCCAGCTTGAAAAGCAGCTTCTTGCTCATGACTTTGAGAGCGCAAACCTCACGGGTGTCTTTCTTTTGGGCTAGGAAAACTTGGCCATAGCCGCCCTGACCAACTTGGGTCAGGATTTGGAAGTCTCCGTGTCGAAGTCGCACCCGACGCTTGCGAAGGTTGGCGCGCTCTCGCCCAGCATACTTGGTCCACATTTGGTTGTGCGTCTGTTCATCGGTCTCTGGTGGCGGGGGGTATTCATTCTTGAAAGCTTGTAATCGGTTTTGGCGAGCACCAACGTATGTGAGAAGGTCAAAATAATAGTCTAGAAAGTCTAGGAAATGTTAGAGGCTGATGAATAGAAGTTACGTTGTATTCAAGCAATTGTGAGAAGGGCTTACAAAGTTGCGTAACATTCACCAGTCGCTTGACGTTGGGCTTTTGGAGGATTTCGCGCTCCTCTGCTGTCAAGCCTCGATGGGTGTTGAATCGTTTGGTCGCAGGTGTGGTAGGTCGGTCTCTCTGCTCGTAGAGCTGTTGGCGGGTAACAGCAGCATGGCTGTGCTGATGGGGAGATTCGATAGCGGCCAAGCGAGAGGTTGGGGGCGTATTTTCCTGGCCTTGCTTCTTGTTAGGGCTCCCCGGTCGTGTCTTATGGACGACACTTTCATCAACATTCGGGCTGGACTCGTCAAGAGGTTGGGTCTTGGTCTTGCCAGTCGCTAGCGGGGTCACGACACTCTGAGGGCGGCCCAATCTGAGAGGCGGCTCAATTGTTGGGGTGTTGAGATTCAGGGCATTGTCGAAGGCGGAAGGAAGGTCGTGCGCGCCAGGAGGATTGGTCTTCTTGCTCGGACTACCTTGAGGCGTGCTCACGGGGTTAAGGAAGTTGTCCAACTTGGTAGACGGTGTAGCAGGGCGCGAGGTACTGTTTTCGCCAGAAGCATTGGTTGCTTTTCCGCCAGGAAAGAAGCTTGACATGAAACTAGCCATGACCGGTTGTCTTTCCTAGGCAATTCTAGCTTATGCTTGGGTGGATGAGAGAATATGAAATAAGAAGACGCTGAGGAGCGTAGTCTATGGCGGGGATGTTTTGTTGTCGCAATACAAAGTTGGGGTTAGAGTCGAGGGGTACCGTAATAATGGGCTTTCTTGTTTGGCAAGGTTGGCTTGAGCTAGGCGGGTGAGCGGTGGGGAACCTGGACAGATAAGAACAGCACTGAGCTCTCCCAGTGGACTCAAATAAATAAAACGATAATGTTGGATCCCAAGGCAAGAAGAGTTATTTGGTGGTGTAAAGTCGGGCAGAGATGAAGGATAAGTGCACCGGCTGAGGTAACCGGTTCCAAATAACAAAGCATTAGAGAGCAAGAGCTGCCACCGCTATTGACAACAAGAACTTGATAAATTAGGTGCTTGCTACTCTGTACTATCTTAGTACATGTGGAAAGCAAGGTCAAGGCCACCTAAGATCGGTCGGGCTGTGGTGGGGTTTGTTTTTTGATGATGCGATTGGTGGGACCCGATCGATCAACAATGGCATGGTTGCAGCAGCAACCGATCGTCTGTACCCGAGATATACTCCAAGTTTAGTAGATATCTCTAGAAATGACTTTTTATTATTATGTTGCACAGCTGCTAACTAGACTAGTCTACTCATGGAAAATGATGCCCCTGTCTGTCGTTTGTCATTGATCTACCTTGATCTATAGCCAAATTTAGGTCATATGGGATCACACCAGCAAGGCTAAACCAATACCAGTCTCGATCTGTTTTTGTTGCCGAGCAAGCCAGCATGCATTACTCGTAGGTACATTTATACGAATACAATATTGGCTAGGACTGGAGCCTACTTCTTTCCCTAACATACCTACCTAGCAGCGCACCTTCTTGGTCAACATTTGAGAACTATACCCTATGCTACCACCCACAACACTGGCAGACAAATAGGTAAATGGCGTTACAAACAGGGCAACTTGGTCAATCGCCTGCCAACGCTCTGCAGTCATTTGTAATCAAAGTGTTATCGAATGATTGTGCTTTGCGGAAACATGTAGACATATTATTATGTTACGCAGCTGGTAGGAATCTCCGTGTATAGGTATCTAGAGGTAACTTGTTTGATTTTCATTAATTACTTTTCTTAATGGGAGTAACCGCATTGCCAGGCTATCTATTAATAGATTTTGATCTTGGAACTAAAGCTATTCTTCCTGCCTTGTATTAGGCTTGAGATTATCTCCTCATGAGGAGGACTCTTAAGATCTGATGTGCGTCTAGTAGATGGAGTTGCATCAAACTAACGACAAACGAGAACCAACCACCAATAAGTACTACTATCTATCCACACACCTAAAATACATGTTATCCACCCTTGGTTCGTCAAAGATGTTCATAATTCGAGAAAGGCTTGTTGAGGTTGTCGAGTATGTGGCCCGGTCTTCTTCTATATGCAAACAACTTATATTTTGCAGCAAATACTTCCTTACCATCACGTTGGCAATCAAATTTCCAGTCTACTTGGACTCAGACTTACATCTCTCTAGCAGCGTCACCATTACTTTGATTTTCAATGAGTGCTGAAATTTGTGTCAGCTTACATCCTTCTCCTCAATCATGTTTGTCCATATACAGAAAGTTATTGAGGTAAACACTCTATCGCATTCTAAAACCACAACGACTAGTTCTCAAGAAATGCAACCTGATTGAATCTTCTCTTCAAACTGGCGGCTAGAGCAATTGATTTTACACGATAGGCAGTTTACATCTGTAAGCAGTTAAACAAAGTAAACAACTGATCGCTGAGCAAACGCTGCGTGTATCTATAAACTTATCACGAATAGACCACTCCCGTTTTTTTTATATTCCACAATATGGTGGGGTCTTCCAAGTAACCATACGAGAGGAAGGAAGTTCTTGTTCAGGGCAAGATTCGTGTCCCCAGCTACCTGTTACGTTGTATGGTTTCTTTCGTGTTCAGTAATGGGCGTCTTATCGTTCTCTCCTCCATTAAACAGATCTTTACAGCCGAATAAAGATTTTAAGTGCTCTTATTGTTTGTATTCATGGCGAGAACTTTCTTTTATTTAGGAGTGCAACACCAGGTGACTCGACTCAATCATGTCTAGTAGATAACAAAAAGTATGACCTCTAAGCCTTAGAGTATAAAAATAAATGACCCAAGATTATAGTGTAAATAGCATAAAGTGACCTGCTGATTTCGTCTCGTATACCTCGAGCGCAACGCTTTTGATACCCTGAGGCATGTGTTATTGATAAACTACAAAACGAGCCGACAGTGAAAATTGCATTTTAGAAACTCTTTCGAACTTACTACTGTAATATGTCTTGTGGGTACAAATAGCCCGTTGCAACTTCAACGGTTGTGTGTCATGGCGCGGTTTCCACCGGCCATCCATGACAAGGATCTAATCTTATCAATCTACCGCTTGGCGAGTAACATCATCATGGGATCAGTCCCCCTCAGCTTAGCGCGGACAACTTCCGCCTCGATTCACTAGCGAAGGTCTCACGCCCCATCTGAATCAGAAGCTTAACGTTGTAGCCAAAATCTGCCACCGCTTTGCTCCTCTTTTGCTCTTGCCCCGTGCCTTTGCTCTTCTTGCGGCAAACTTAATAGAGGCGTACCCTCCTTCTGTTGTCAACTCTGCCAAACGCGCACAACCCGGACATAGCAACACATCATGAAGTTTTCCCACGTAGTCGCCGGCTTCGCTGCCACGGCGCATGCTTTTAGTCCCAAGTTCAACATCTTCGGCGACAACGATAATGCCGACACCAACGCTCCTCATAGGATCCCTACGGCCCATGAGTCTGTTGTCATGGCGCGTCGCATCCTTGCTCTCACCAAGGTCGCCACTCTCTCGACTGTTTTCCCTTCTGGCCACCCCAACGGTGATCTTGCCATCGATGAGAACCGCCCGACCGGACTCGAGGGTGTGCCTATTGGCATGATGGATTATGTGGCAGATTGCGAGGATGAAGGTAACCCTACCATTCTCGAAATTAAGATCGCAACAACGTTCAAGAACATCCGCGCTGGATCGAACCTTACACTCTCCATGAACTGGGTCCCGCCCTATCCGCCCGCCAAGCGCATCTCCCTTCTCTCTCGTCTCTCGGCATATATTCCCTTCCTCCCTAGCTACGACTACAACAGTCGTGTCGAGGAGTCTTCCACCCCGGACACCGTTCCTTACTCAGCGGCCAATCTGCCCCGGTTCGCCCTTTTTGGATACCTGGAGCCCATTGAAACCACTCCCGTATCGGCTGTCAAGCTTGCAGCATGCTTTACGCGCAAGCATCAAGACGCTAAGTACTGGCTGCCAGGTAATGTCATCCATGAGAGCTCATGGGCGCGCCTGGTTGTGACCAAGATATATTGGGTTGGCGGCTTTGGCGACCGGGCGCGAATTGGCTGGCTGCCTGTTGACGAATGGAAGAGCGTCACCAGAGATGAATGGGAGAGCATCAAGCTCCCCGGTGAGGAGAGAGGTTGGAGCGAGTGGTCAGTCAGCTCTGCGGGAGAGCTGTAAAGGTGGTATGACCTGACTCTGTTGGAAAGAGTCTTTACTTTTTATTGTTTGGCTTTGTGGTGAGTTTCGGGCGGCAGAATTCTTTTGCATATGGATGGATATAGTCTATAACTTGATCGTGGCTTTGGTTATGTACACGGAAGATCTTGCTTTTTTTTATTTTACATAGTCAGCCAGGGACAGCAATATGTTGACAGGGTGCTTTGTATCACAGGCCCTTTTTACGTCTCCAGTCTGTTTTACATCATTGGCAACTTGCAGCATTCCCTTTGGAAATGTCTTGGGCAAAATATGCAGATAGCCGAATCGACCAATCTTGAATACCATGCAGCTGTTTCCCTTGGTTTGGTTCACCGTGCTACAGAGTTGCCGTGATACGAGAAGTATTTGTCTCACAGAACCTTCATTCGGTAGTCCGAATTGTTACGCTTGGCAACGTGTTATGGTCACCGGTGACTTTGGTTCATATTGCTTAACCTTATCAGCCTGCAAGAGCCCATGGCGCGTCACAAACAGAACACCCTTGCTCGTATCTACTGCAACCGTGCGCTTAAACGGATTGGGACGGGGCGGGAAGTTCATCAACCCTATGGGCTGGCTGGCACAAGGGCAAAAGGGATGGCAGCGATGTCGTGATGGCCGTGTTAGGGACTACATTGTGGTGGGTTACAGCTGCGTAGCTGTGGCGGCTTGATCCGGCGGGCCACGGGCGATCCGACTCCTCGCGCAATGTGAGAGTTTTGAGTAGATAAGTTTCGACTGTTTGTCGATGTTGCGGCATCGTTTGCGATATAGTCTAGTTTTTGTCTTGAATAATAAATCGCTGAGCTGGTAACCATTTGAGATATCTCATGCGTTGTCAACGATGTCAAATCTGTTTTAGCAAGGGTTGCCCTCCCTGTTCTATTATATTCGACTCAGCCAGAAATATTGGCCCGTTTAGTGCAAGGACACAAAGGATCTACAAATGAGACAATCAGAGAGTATTGAGCGGCTCAGTGCAACGAGGCACTGTAACTACCTGTGCAGCTAAGTAAGTAAGTAGCCTACATGAGCATGTGAAGACCCTAGCCCCATGTTTCGGAATACGATCACCGCAGAACAAATAACGATGCCCTCCCCGAAAAGGAAGGTTTCTTGTGTCGTTGAGTCTCTTCTCGGTAGAGGAACTCGGCCCGGGATGGGATCCCGACGGAAAGGCTGGGGGGCTCCGCTCCGTAGGTGGTCGGTCCAGGGATATCCCTCTGTCTGACATCCATGGTTTCCGGATACATTACAGCTATACTGCACTGCGCCGAGACAGTAGAGATTGGCGTTAGGCTATCAGTTTAAGAATGCGAGACTGGCAGTGAAAAGTGCATTAGAGGCGTTTACTTGCAGATAAATGATGCAAGTGGTTCAGACATGGGCTGATAAGACAAACCACACCTGTATCTTAACGGTTATCTTCTCCGCGACTGTATTGCACTAATTACACCGCAGAAAATGCCAAGCCAGTCACGCCTACTGGTTGTGAGCCAACAAATAAACCCATGATTCAGACTGGGGAGCCTTGAGCTTGTTAGAGTCAGCTTTAATCCACTCTCATCAGTAACGTCAGTCACCCAAGAACTTGGCTCTTGAAGAGAAGTAGAATATTGAAAAAGATGGCATGGTTTATGTATTAGTTCTCGACCCTGCGCTATTGTCGGGGCTTGCGATGTGGCTTGCACTATTCATTCCTATAACCGTCCTATCGGTGTGGTGTTTGTCCCTTGGAAATCCAATGTCCATGTTGATGGAAAAAGAAGCCAAGGGAAACGGATTGGACTTCATGTGGGTGGGAACACAGACCAGACCACAATAGGCACCTGCAAGAGCTTCGCACTGCGGTAAAAAAGTAGGGTTTCCAGGCCGCTGAGGGGATGAGAGGAACTATCGGCCGATTATCATCCAATGGCTTAGGTTGGCGGATAAACTAGGTGTATGCATGACGGTTGATGATGAACAACATTAAAGCATCATGTGCCGCCTGGACTTGGCCGATGAGGGCAGAGTTGAAGGTCAATGAGAAGAGGTAAACATTGACCAAAAGGGGTGCTTCTTCCAATGATCTGGACTGGATGCCGTCATGGGGGCATTTCGAGAAATGATGGCTGATGAGCTTCGCTTACTGGTTGGTTAAGTCGTAGCTGACATTGGACCATGTTCTACAAACACGACACAAGAAGCCAAGACAAGCTTTTGATGAGGAGACACTTTGTTGTTTCCTGTCCTAAGGAAAATGGGGTGTCGTATGGAGAAGAGTTTCTGTATCTAGCCTGTAATCTCTGACACGTCAAGAAGTGATGGTGCTCCTACTCAACTGCTGTATGTATGTACCAATTCAATAGTGCGCACCACCAATAAATAACGTACATTCCGCGAGGCAAAAGGCTTCCTTGCGATCTTAGCTGCGCGATTGAGTGTGCCCTCAAGCGGGGTCGATGGCTTTCGGCTGGGGGAGCTGCTGTAATGTTTTTTGGTCGCCAAGGTCAGCCAACCGTGACCCCTGAATACCACAAACGACGTTATGCACTCTGATGTGACCTGAGCCTGCCAGCCTGCACCTCGAAACGCCCGTTTACCTTGAGAGCAATCAGCCCGCTTCCGAATTGCCTACCTACCTATCCCTTCCATATTGAAAGAAAGTACAGCACTGTATCGGGAAGTGTAACGCAGTGCGGCATGTACGTATTAATGGATGTTTAGTCTGTAGTATAGGACCAACCAAGCCATTGGTTATGGCACACAAGGTATCGCCACCTGCCTTAGTAGTTTAGCACTTGTTCCCAGCCACTGGCGTTTCAATAAATCCAAAAGTCTCCTACAGTAATAGTAATAGAGCTCATGTAATAGAATTGTTTCCCTAATAACAGTTCCCCACCCGCTACTATCCCGTCAACCTTAGCCGTAACCATTACCCGTGAAACATAGTCGGGTAGGTAGGTTCCTTGGATCCGCACAATCTAGAGGATAATGAGCACAAAATCTCTCCCCAAGATATCCGGACAGGCAGGGTCCCGTCGTAGACAGACTCAAGGGACCTGACCGAACAAGCGACAGGCTGAGGGGGACACATCCATGCCAGTTTACCACTAGCAAGTAATCGGTACTTAGTGGTTATGGGGCATGGCGGGCCCTCTGACGCAAAAGCCCTGCTATCAGTGCATGCTGGCAATCTCTCCATGTGTAGCGTCTACCTGCATCTCCACCTTCCTTCGCGTCCCCATATTTCCTTTTGAGGGCCCGAAGGCCTTCTTAAGTTAGTACCTTGCCTTGCCAACCTTGCCTTGCCTCACCTCAAAAACGCTCTAAACAACGTACCTGCACTGCACTGCACTGCATATTACCTACCTTGCCCCGTCCGACCCCATCCATCTCATAATCCATCGACGTTCCCGCTCTCGGTCGGGGTTCCGTGCCGCTCGTGTACATACTTGCGCTATCTTGACACTTATTGTTAATTCTTTGTTCTTTACATCCTCCTCCTCTTTTCTCGCATCAGCAAGGGCCATTCGCGTGCGTGGTCAACCGAACAACAACGGGCGTTTACTCGACGACTGCGGTGGTGATAGTTTGGAAACGATATAACGCACGGGCGACGGTCACGATCCAAGTCAAATACTCGACTCGCCATTCGTCATTCGGATTGCGCGGCAGGTCCATCAAGCATTTATAGGTCAGCGACGATAACGCGATCGAGAGAACGCAAACCTGAGGCGACACTTCGATATCGAGTATCCGGCCCTTCGAGGCGCTAAGGAGCATCGCACGGCATCGCGGTCTGATCTTTGACGACCGCGTTGACTGCGACCGTCTGCGATAAACTCCAACATAATTCAATATACCCCTTGTCTAGATCTTTCGGAATGGCGCCTCCGCCCACGAATCGAAAATGACCTCGCGGACCCCCATGGGCGCCCATCCGCGGCCGCCTCAGCGTTCCGTGAGCTCATCGTCGTTACCTGTCCAGCGCCCTCCTCCTCAACGAACGTTATCACACCAGCAGCAGTTTGTACCCGCCTCACCAGTTCGAAAAGACTCTTCATTCATCGATCTTACCGCCGATGCCGGCGATACCACCCCTAACCGTTATAATACAACACCGAGAAGAGGCGGCTCACGTCTCCGGCTTGAGTTATCCCATAATGCTTCGACCAACTCCTTACCGACGTCCGAATCACCACAATCTCTGACACCCTCACGAATACCTGCCAACTCCGACCCTTTCCAAACCATGGTCGGAAGCCCAATCCCCATCAATAGCGCTAACTCAACTTCGATGCCAATGCCGACACGCCGACCCGTCGCTTCACAATTGAGGTCAGCTCCTCCCGTCACCACAACGACTGCACCTGCACTAGTAAAAAAAGACACCCGGCCAAAGCCGTATACAGTTGAGGTTCCTTCCGCTGCACCAAGATATTTCGCGGCAAACCGGCCTGAAACCACCCCTCGGAATCCCGTTGACCCATTCAGCAAAGGTCTTAACTCTGGATATGCCGATTTCTTCCCTTGGAACGGAGCGCATCACGAAGATGAGTGGAGCAGCGAAGCCATCACAAAGGGAACCTGGGATAAGGTGAACTTGAATGTTCCCGAAACCTCATCTGCTAAACTTGCCATCTTCCCAGCTTTGAAGCAAAAGACTGGCCTGACTGCTCTTTCCACGATTTTCATGGGTGTTCTGACTCAGCGTAGACATCGAGGCCAGATCAATGCACCCTCGACTTTCAAGCCACCACCGCGAGTCACACTCACGGATACGAAGAGAGAGGTCTGGCTCAAGGACCTTGCCAACCCCGCCATATCTCTACGACGTCTCAGTCGAACAATTCCTCATGGCATTCGTGGCAGAACTCTGCTCGACCAATGCTTGAACAAGAACGTTCCTGCTGAGCGGGCTGTGTGGCTGGCAAAATGCGTCGGTGCCAACGAGATTAGAGGGCTGAAGCGAAAGGGCGTCAACGGTGCCTTTGTTATGGGTGGCGAGCTAAAGTGGGCTCGCGACTGGACCGTCTTTGTCGAGCAGTTCGTTGATGCTGTTGTAACTGGCTTCAGTGAGAAGGACTGGAAGACCAGAGTTACATATGCGTAAGTTTGGACTGTTTACAATAGTCTTATAATTGCGAGTACTAACGGTCAATGCAGGATTCGTCTAGCAACAAATCTTTACTCGGAGCAGTTGCTGGATCGGGATCATTATCTTGATTGGATCGTTTCTGGAATTGAGAATAGCCTTCAGTCAAGAATCCCAATGTGGCTGCTAATAGCTCAGATATATTGGAAAGATATCCTTAGGTTTCGCAAGTACGGCCGACGGCTTGTCTTTGCCCTACTGAGTCATTTGCACGTAGTACGTCAAAGCACACTCGTTCAGGCTGACGTGTTGACTAACTGAAAAATAGATATACAACGACCCTGATCAGGATCTTCTTATGCAACTTTCAAGTAGACTATCAACCCTACTCAGCTCCTTGGTCCTGTCTAACCCAGAGAGCTTCATCAATCCCGGTGCTTGGCCACGATACAAAAACACTCTTCAGGCCTTCTTACGTACCGATCATGAGCCAACCCAAAAGTCTCTACATATAATTAACTCACGAAACTCGCGACTAGTTGTGTCCAGTACCGCTTCCCCTCCCGCCGGTAGAAGTCAGCTAGTGAAATTACTCGATGCCGCTCTTAAGGAATCTAGTGACGATCATCTGGCGGCGACATGTTGGGCCACGAGTGAAAACAAACCTCTGATCATGAAGACAGTCGTTGAGTGGGCTACTTCCTTCCACCGCCCCGGTTTGGCGAAAGTTTATGCTGCGGCTCGATTAATTCGACAATGGAGCCAGTTCCGTGTGAATCCTACAACGCCGATACTCGAGACACTCGATAGCATTTCCATCGAAGACAAGACGCGAAAGAATTTGATTTATCATCTGGTCACTGAATTGGTTCGGACTGGCCATTTCTCTGTCTCCCAGTACATGCAATGGACTATTGCACGTGGTGGCTACCACAGCGGAGCGGAGATCGACGCCGATTCAGGCCCGTGTTCTAGCAGATTGTTAGTTGAGCTGCCGCTCCATGCTTTGTCTGAGAAAAAGAGAGCCGAGAGAGGAAACCTGCTAAGGCGAGCTGGAAACTATTCGATCGTTGAAGAAGAGCAAGATATCGCCAACGCCATCAAGTTTGTCAGGCATACCGTGGGACTTCCCTTACCGCCAGGTGATCCGCTGTCAGAACGAAAACCCGTTTCCCTAAAGAAGCTGCTTCCAAGATTAAGTAGCAGCAGCGGTGCTCTCAGGAGCTGCATTGGTGCACATCTTCGTGATGTACTAACCAGTCAGTTCAACCACAACAACCAACCATCTCTGCCTTTGACCATGTACAACTCGGTTCGAGCTATCATGGAAGCAGTTGAAGACTACTCTATGTTGTCAGATGTCCTCGGGGCGTGTTCAAAAATTGCCGATTATGATGTGCTAGCGTCCGTTGCCGATACCGTTCACTCAAATCTTCAAATCTTTTCGGCTCTGGGCAGTGCAAACGATTTGTTCAATGTACTGATCGAACGCCTAAAGTCGATGAACGAAGAGCAAGGAATCGTGCCGCGGCCATTACTCGCTTCCCTTTCAAGCCTCGCCCAGCGCATGACAGGTTATGAAGTCATTGCTTCCCATCTACGACAAGAATTACTCCAAAGTGACCGCAGCAATGCTGTTGATGCTTGCTCTCCGGTATCCGATATTGTGGCAGCTCCTACTCAACACGCCGAAAACGAACTGGCAGAAGATATTGAGAAACAACTGTCTAGTGGAACGCGGTTAGATCCCCCAACCATGAACAAATTGTTCAGAAGGATCATCCCTGCACTTGAGCGAGGCTGGGAGAAGACGGATGATACACGTCGAGTGTTTGCAACGTTGTTAACCAGGATACGAGTTTTTGATGCTCATCATTTCGATAAACTGATGACAGACTGGACAAGTCACGTTCGATCTCTTTCCAATCGTTCCCCTCTTGTCAGTCTATTCCCTCTTCTGGTCAGTACAGGTTGCCTCACGATGCCAATCGTCATGAGTACTGCGAGCCCGCCATCAGCCAGTTTCCAGAATTTATCTTCGGATCCCTCGGGGAACAAATTTGGCCCAGCAACATACTTGCAGGAACTCTTGCAGCTTATCATCATGCCACTGCCCTCAGGAACGGGACTTTATGCTGAGGAAGGTTACCGGTTCCATACTGAACAAAAGTGTGCCAAGTTCGAGCAGTCGAAGGGGCTCTTGAATTTGGTCCGCAATGCCCTCTTGGAGTACTCAGGCTTGAGAAATCATGCCAACAGTCCTGAATTCCCACTTGACAATCCCACATGTCAAGAGAGTCTTCTCGAAACCCTACGAACTCTTGTACTAGTCGACTCGTCCGCCGTCTCCAATGCTCTTGGTATTAAGTCGTTACCAGCTGAAGCCGTGGGTCTTGTTCGTAAGGTGACGACCAAGCTCCTTATCCCTGGCGATTCTGGCGACACCCAAATCTCGTTCGAC